GTTTTGGCAATTGAAAGTTTTAAAAAAGATGTGCCTTTAAGCAGAGATTGAAACTTTGTTACCCTTACATTGGGAAACCACATTTTAAGTTAGGGGTGCTTTAGACCAAATTTTGTGTGTAATGAATATTCACTGTGGCTCTTAGTATTTGGCTTTTCTATCTTTATATTTTAGAAGTGGAGACACTGATGCCAGTCTGTTTTATGATAAACGCAATGTCCAGGACATCTAGATTGGATTATAGCTTGACTGTTTATATACAATATATAAATATGTAAACAGTGAAGCTATAATCCAACCCACAAAGCCTGAAGATTGTGTTCATCTTTAAACTTACTGACATCAGAGTCCACATTTCTTACATAGATAGAAAAGCTTTATCTGGCATAGGAGCAAAATACTGAGAAACTTAGTTCATTACACAAAAAATGTGGTCATCAAGACTAGTTTGTTAATCATTATATTACAGCATAGATGTCCCTCATTTATGGTAAATAATCATGTATCCATGAAAAAAAAATACTGATATTTTAATTCCTCATCTCTTACCCTTCCTCATCTCCACCACTCTCTCATTCTTCTTGTTTACATCTTTTTTTATTTTTTTGGTTTTTATCCTACTTTCTCTCTCTCTCTCTCAAAATACTTCTCTCTCTCTTTTTCTTGCCTACTCACCCTGTTTCCATATTCTTTTCTCTTCCATCACCTTCCTACTTTTGGCTTCTCTTCCATACCTTACTAAACTTTCTTCATCTCAAGGCAACAACCCAAGTATTTACTGCTCTAGCCATCATCAGGTGTTTCCATGGTAACATCTCTACTCATAATTGCTTTAAGCATATCTGGTGACAGTTTTTTTCTGCGAGGTAACTATTGGTGAGTCAACACTTCTCCACATTCTCAGTTCAATATTGACACTGGCAATTTGAATCTATTTGACATCATCAGCTCTTCAGTTAGCTGAGATTTGTTCAGCATAAAACGTTAGGTATTACTGCTTTTAAATGTGCTTGTTTATTTAACCAGAAATTTAATGCATGTATAATATAATCAAGATGTTGGTTTTCCGAACCACCTTAAACAAAAGTTTGGAAAGAACAGTAGCAATGTTTTGGGGAAGTTTATTTTCTGAACATTTTATAAATTTCAACAAACTGTTCAATCAATAAATATTAAATGTTTCCTTAATTGAAACAATTCATATCATCATCACCCTATATATCAGGAGTGGCTAAACTTGTTTAATGTAACAGCCACATACTATAAAGTTCAAATGTTTGAGAGCTGCAAGACATGAACAAATTTTACACATACGTTTTTGTTACATACACATTTTGTTACAAAATTTTTACATAAATGTTAATAAATGCACATATCCAATAATATTTATACATGTATGCAGTTTTTAAACAGTTAATTTGTATTGGTTTCAGTAATCACAAAGTACACAGATACATACATAAATACATACATATATATATATATATATATATATATATATATATATATATATATATATATATATATATATATATAAATAAATGTTTAAAAGTGTCAACATTTTGAAAACATTTATATATATATGTATATATATATATATATATATATATATATAAAAAGGCTTAAACACTAATATTCCATGGTCATAATTTATTCCATTGGAATCGTAAATACAATCAAATCATCAGACCTACAAATTCAAAATCAGGTCTGATGATTTGGATGTATTTTAATTCCAATGGAATAAATTATGACCATGGCATATTAGTGTTTAAGCCTTTTTATTATATCCTTACTCTGTCCTAGACATTGAGTTCTACCTGGATTCTTCCTCTTGGAAAATTTTTTTTCTGAAAATATACATGTATGGGTATTTTTTTTATATATATTTTTCATATGTATGTATATTTTCCACTAATATTATATATAATATATATATATATATATATTATATATATATATATATATATATATATATATATATATATATCATGTTTCATTAAAAACAACAGACAAGGTACTACGGTTAAGCTTTTATTTAATTTTCTTCAAAAATTAAAAACATTCCTACCACACACTAATACATACACAGAACGCACACACTCAATTAAGCTGAAAATTGAATCATCCTTGATAATGGCTAAACGTATAGCTGAAAGCGCTCAGAAATATAAAACATTTGGACAGTTCTTACACACCCTTTGTCCAGAAAAGAAAGCTCTTGTCAGAACACAAAAAAAATTAAATAAAAAGCTTAACTGTAGTACTGTGTCTGTCGTTTTTAATGAAACATGCATAAAGGAAGGATTGCTGCCTAAATATACAACTACATACACTTACACATGACCTCAGATTTCCGACATTCCTCTGTAACCCTTGCAGACTGGAAATTCCTTTAATCCCTCTGCTTCCTACCATTCCTTCCCTCAGCACTAAAGAACAATGTCTCATTCAGATCTAGAATTAAAATCAGGATTTAAATTCTTAAATATTTTGACTAACCATGAACTTGTGTTTTAATCCAATGAGGTCTTAATTCATACCCATTAAATAATTATGAAGCTTGAATTTTTTTTATTTACCTTTTTATATTAATTGTGATGCAAAAAGGAGCTCAGCCAACATGTTTTCACAAGCCACATATTAAAGGTCAAAGAGCCACATGTGGCCAGCCCTGATATAGACCTTCAAAATAAGGCCATGACATCCTGTTATCTCTGTCAATAAATGCTTAAAATAAGTAAATGCTTAAATGATTGCTTAGATTTTTCTGTTTAGATTTAATAAATAGAAAATAAAGCCAATTTAATTCATGTTCAAAATTTAAAACATCAAGTTTGTCACAGTTTCTAGAAATTCTTACATTTTTTAATCCAGAATATTTCTTGCTTTGGATTGATGTACAGGAGACGGTTCTGCAATGCTTTAAAATCAAAGCAGTGTGAGCAAGCTAAACTAATGCTGAAATTTCCAAACTTGGGTGTCATCTCCTGTTAGTGTAATTAATTACCAATTCTTTGTTTAATTATAATTTTTTAATTGCATTCTTTCTTTTTATATACATTGTTAATTATATACCTGACTTGTCAAACAAAACTTGGGTAATGTGTCATAAAAAATACAATATAATGCTACCTCTCTTGAGGAATGATGACTATCTACAGATATTTTCTTTATGTATGAATTGCAATGCATTCTTGGAAAAATTAGTGAAGCAGTTTGTATGCTCTTTGGTTTGAAATTCAGTGATTTCTTCCTTTGAGACTGGTTGCCACCTGAGGGTAGAAAGCTCCATTTAACCTACTATTAATCCATGGCTGAGATAATAAAAGATGGAGTCATGTTGTTGTCAAGGACATTTTTGGGGAAGTGAATGCCACAAACTAGCTTGGAATTTGAACTTGGTTCACCAAGTTGAAAAACTATCATAAATGTAAAATGTTTGACAAGGCATTATATGAAAAATTAATCTGTTCATTTATTTCACTGTCAGGGTCTGGGTGTTGGCTCTCCCCATTTTCCTGTCTTTTGTTGCCTAAGTAATTCTTACTCCTTTACAACCCCTCTTAACTTTTGTGCCATTTGTTCCACTGTCAAGCTTGTGAAGTTTCTCTTTCCTTTACCCTGTTTCTATTGCTTTTGGTATGCCCTGGGTGTGTCAAATTATCTGAGTCTTCTTTCCTCATGCTGTGTTCAAATATTCTCAGCTTTATCTTTCTGCAAGTTTCTATTCTTAAAACTTATACTGTCTATTCTCAGCATTTTCTAGTAGAACTGCATTTCTATCACTTCAAGTCTCATCTTCATCTGAGATGAAACTGTCCAGCATTCACTACCACATAGATTACACATACTCAATCAATAAGCAAACCTAAGATGGATTATGTTTTTTTCCTTCATATTTGGGGGTTCGTCTCCAGAATATTGGACATAATATTGGTGATATAATCAAATTTAAAATTAAACCTGATAGAAAGTGAACAGTGAATACAAGAATAGTTTATCAATTTGGACACACGCTTTCCCCTTCATGAAATTCAGAAATACAGATTTCAATACAATCATAAACTTTGTTGAAAAAAAAACCCACGAGTATTAATAGATATGAGGAAAATTAACATCTTTGCAACAATATTTTCAATTGGCCTCAGAAATTATTTTAAGAATTATTTTTCTATAATATGAAAGCAACTAGATGTTTTTAATGTCCTTCCTTTACCAAATTTTAATGCAAATAAACAAGAGAGAAAAAAGTAAAAACAAAAAAGTGCAAATTAGCTTGCAAGAAATTGTTTATTTTCATTGTTGGAATAGAAGAGACTGTTTTTTCAGAAAAAAAATTGGCTAGATAGCTGAAATTATACACAAGTCTATAAAAATAGCCTGGTACCTTTTATGAAAATTGGTCAAAGGAACCAATGGAAGCACCAATGAATATGACTGCTTGTTGTTGCATTCCTATCATTTTTTTGTTCTCTTTTCCATCATCACTGTTTTTAGGGATACAAAACTGACAAAGTTGTTTGAGAACCGCTTGTTATAAAATTAAATGAGGAAAAGCAATTCTTAAATAAGTTTAAATTCTTTCTTTTTATATTTTTCTTTAGCTTATCTTCTTTTTCTTGCATTCTAGTGTCCCTTCTCTTTTTGTCTCCTGCTGTAACATCTTTTATTTTTCTATATGCAAAAGATAGTTGTAAGCAAAAGAAATGGTCCAAACTATAAGCTACATAATGGAGATGTCAAAATCAACCCAGTACAGAAATTTAACTATGAGTAGTGTATTAACAGACAACAGAAATTGTGACACATTAATCCAGGAAACAGTTATAGTGAAAGATGCTTTCAGAATCTAAGCAATGTATTAAGAAATTGGAAAATTTCATTAAAAACAAAGAGTGATTAATTCCTACATGAAATCTGCTACATTGCAGTGAATCCTCAATACTCTCCTCACAGATAAAGAAGAGACTTAGTGATAGATACCATTCTACCAAAAAATGCAAAGAAAACCATCAAGAGATATTATTGCTTTCTTTATTTGTTACTTTATTGCTTTATTTCATCCTTTATTACCTTCTTTCTTCCTCTCTTCCTTTTTTATCTTTCTATCTTCCTCTCTTCCTTTTTTATCTTTCTATCTTCCTCTCTTCCTTTTTTATCTTTCTATCTTCCTCTCTTCCTTTTTTATCTTTCTATCTTCCTCTCTTCCTTTTTTATCTTTCTATCTTCCTCTCTTCCTTTTTTATCTTTCTATCTTCCTCTCTTCCTTTTTTATCTTTCTATCTTCCTCTCTTCCTTTTTTTCTTTCTCTTCCTCTCTTCCTTTTTTTCTTTCTATCTTCCTCTCTTCCTTTTTTATCCTTCTTTTCTTCCTTTTTTATCTTTCTATCTTCCTTTATTACCTTCTTTCTTTCTTTCTTTCTTTCTTTCTCTCTTCCTTTATTACCTTCTTTCTTTCTTTCTCTCTTCCTTTATTACCTTCTTTCTTTCTTTCTCTCTTCCTTTATTACCTTCTTTCTTTCTTTTCTTTCTTTTTCTTCTTTCTTTTCTCTTTTTTATACCTTCTTTCTTTCTCTCTTCCTTTATTACCTTCTTTCTTTCTCTCTTCCTTTATTACCTTCTTTCTTTCTCTCTTTCTTTTTTATCTTTCTATCTTCCTTTATTACCTTCTCACTTCGTTTATTAGCTTCTCTCTTCCTCTCTTTCTTTATCACCTTTTTCTTCTTTTATCACCTTTCTTTTTCTTTCTTCTTTTATTGCTTGTTTTCTTTTTTCTTTCTTCATCTGACAGCTTTGTTTCTCTCTTCCTTTATTCCAGGTATGGGTTAATTAGTAAAACTTTTATCACTAAAACACTTTATTATCTCCAAAAAAATAGAATAAAATTACATACAAAAATATTTAGTTTTCAGTATTAGGTAACTCATAAAGGTTGATATGCTGCTAAGAAAAAACAACCAACCAATCATGGCACACAAAACCTTCATTGAAGTTCCTATTGTTCAGCAAGATGGCTCATTAGTACAACACTCAACCACTGTACTCTGAAGAATTTCTTGTTAACGGTTTTTCTTCCCTTAGACAACTATTTCCATGATAATTACTTCCATCTACATGGATTGGGAATTCAAAGTTTTTCCTTCTCCTGGTCTAAACAAGACTGAAAAGCCCAGTCTGAGCTACTATTTAACCTATAGCTGGGGAGGAGAGAGATATTTGTGCAAAAGTGTATGTAACAAATTTGAATGGAATTTGAACTCGACTCTGTGATTCCTTGTTCTGAATAGCTAACCATTACACCACCAACACATCCAATTTTTCACATGATTATTTTTTATCTTATAAGTAAACAAAAGGAATTTCATAGTCATGAGAAAAATACTTGGTTATTTTACATATTGCTCATAAATTGTTCATTTGTGTTCTCACAATAAAGTGTTGTCCATCATTTCTAATGCAGTTTCTTTTTTTATGTTAGGTATTATGAGACTTTTGATGATCTCGTCTCAGAGACATTAATTTCACAGTCTGTAAATAAACAGAAACAACTACTCAAATGCACATATCCACTAAAATAACGTTTACAGTGTAAGACACACACACACTATATATATATATATATATATATATATATATATATATATATAAATATGCACCATGATAAATGGAAAGAACAATATTATAGATTACTTTCCAAGATAAAATATTGACATGGATTAGAGAAGTGATTAAGTGACAAAAATTATGTAGGCTGGTACACGTAGAAGAAGAAAGGATTACAGATGGAGCAAAAGGTTGGTTAGTGCCCAAATAGAAAATGCAGTAGAAAAATATCAAATAGAAGATAGATTAGATATGGGTAAAACATGGCAAAGAGCACAGTCAAAGAAGTCATGAAAGAAGTTTGAAAAGCCTTTGTCTAGTAGTGGACTCATAATATCTGTTAAAGATGATATTTATGTACATGAGATGTTGGCAAGACCCTTTATAACTTGGTTCTCTACAGCTTCCTGTCTGTGACTGCCTTCAGCAATATTTGCTCATTTACAAACCCTCTTAGTCTTTGTTATAAGTTTTCTTTTGTTCATTTGCTCAAAATTTGAAGTAGCTTGCAGCTTTCCCATGGTTTTCTTGCCTTCGGCATGTCCTATGAGTGTTAAATTCTCCCAGCCTTCTTTCCTTATGTGCCCCCAAGATTTCAGCAGTTTCTTTCTGATTTTTAGCAGCAGATTCATTATAGTTTTTATTCTCCTCCCTTGATACATGCTTAGGTGATTATGTATCTTTCAATACATGATTGACATGGAAGATTTTTTTCCCTGCAGTAGGTTGCCATTTCTTTCTGTGGTAGACCAGTTGCCATTCAAGGTTATGGAATCCATTCTATCCTGCTATTTACCCATAACTGGGAGGATCCTCTTGACTGGAATTCAAACTCAGCTCTCTGATTCCTCAATCTGAGCCGCTATCCATGGGGTTTAAATATTGTGTAGCATTGTTTTCTTTGTTAATGATGTTTTTTTTCATCCTTTACTTCAATTTTTACAAAGCCTCTTTCAATATTCTGATGCAATTTCAGATGCCCCTGTGCCACACTTTAAAGCAAGTTAATAATTAAATAAAAAAGCCAAAAATTCAAAAATAAAGAAATTTTAGAATATAACAAAAGTCACTTTATATTATTACAAATTTGCAATAAAATGTAATAAAAACACCTGCATCAAACTCAATAATTTTTCCTACACAAATTTGTCTTGCACCATTTGTTTGTGCCTTGAATCTTGTTGCCATATCTGATCTGGGGCATCTATGTATCTCGAGTTTCTTGATGAAATCTAAAGAAGAATCTGCAATACTATATGTCTTGACCTGGTATCTCAGCTTCAATCAAATTCACTCTAATGTAATACAGCTTCCCGATGCATTTTCTGTAACAATTGTTCTAAGCTTTCCTCTTTAATACCTCAACTTCATGAATTTGGGCATAGTACTAGATTGACAGCAAGGTCTAATCATTTTACTGTTGAAATTGTTAGATGTAACCATAAGTTATAGGCTAAGAGTTTTGTACTTCTTCCAGTGGAACTTTCTTCTGGCTTTTGCCTTCTTGTCAACTACAATTTTTTAAAACTTAAATGCAACATCCATCATCCTCTTCTGTCACCTTGAATTTTGTTTTTTTTTTATTTTTGTCTTCTGTCCTCAGTAAAGTTTTCTCAGTAATACCTTGTCTTAGTGGCTTTGTCACCTTTCTTGGAGAGAAATGATTAGAAAAAAATAAATTATGACCAGAATCTTAAATATGCACAAACATTAAAAACACTACAACCAATCAATTCTTGAAAACTACAAAGAAGAATTTTTAATTTTAGCTCTAGTTTAAATACAGGCAATAAAAATCAACCATATGAAAAAGTTAGATATTAGAGTGTGAATGAGGGGAAAAGTGTGGAGTTTCTGAGTTGAATTTTCTTTTTGAGAAATTTGATTTAAGTTTATTGCTGAAAAATCACCAAACTTGTCATTGAGGTCACAGGTCATGAAGATGGTGGAAATGATATCATTCAAGTTTTATTGGACAGTGGGTAAATCAGAAAATGCCTAAAAGGAAAAGTCAGAAATGAAGATTAGAAAATTGTTTCAAAAAATGAAAGGAAGGAAGTCAAAGAATCTGAATTGTGAATTCTACAGAATTACCAGCAGCAGAGGAGGAATAATTTTTTAAAGTAAATCTGAAAATAGAGGGAAGCAGAAGAGGAGGAGGGTAAAAGAAAAATGCATAAAAAGAAATAGGGAATTTCCAGGGTTAGAATAGAGAGTGAAAATAAAAAAGAGAAAATTGAGAAAGGAAGAACAAGAACTGAGAATAAGAGAAAAGAAGATTTTGTGGAAAACAGATGAAGAAAGGTAAATGACAAAAAGATAGCGAAAGACAAATGAAACAAGATAAATCCTGAAAAGAAAGAGAAAGAAGAGCCTAGATAAATTATAAAGAAAGAGAAACTAACAGAAATGATAGAAAGGGAAATTAAGATGAATTATAGAGAAAAAAAATAAATAAATGATTAGCAAACCAAGATAGATAATAAAGAGAGAGAATAAAAATGAATGAAAGAAGATGAACCAAGATTATAAAAAAAGAGGAAGATGAACCAAGATAATAAAAAAAAGATGAAGGATAAAGAGAAAAATGAACCAAGATAATAAAAAAAAGAGAAAGAGGAAGGACAAAGAGAAAGATGAAGGAAGATAATAAAAAAGGAGAAAGATGAAGGAAGATAATAAAAAAGGAGAAAGATGAAGGAAGATAATAAAAAAAGGAGAAAGATGAAGGATAAAAAAAAGGAGAAAGATGAAGGATAAAAAAAAGGAGAAAGATGAAGGATAAAAAAAAGGAGAAAGATGAAGAAAGATAATAAAAAAAAGGGGAAAGATGAAGGAAGATAATAAAAAAAGGAGAAAGATGAAGAAAGATAATAAAAAAAAGGGGAAAGATGAAGGAAGATAATAAAAAAAGGAGAAAGATGAAGGAAGATAATAAAAAAAGGAGAAAGATGAAGGAAGATAATAAAAAAAGGAGAAAGATGAAGGAAGATAATAAAAAAAGGAGAAAGATGAAGGAAGATAATAAAAAAAGGAGAAAGACGAAGGATAAAAAAAAGGAGAAAGACGAAGGATAAAAAAAAGGAGAAAGACGGAGGATAAAAAAAAGGAGAAAGACGAAGGATAAAAAAAAGGAGAAAGACGAAGGATAAAAAAGGAGGAGAGAAAGACGACGGATAAAAAAGGAGGAGAGAAAGATGAAGGATAAAAAAGAGATGAACCATGATAAATATATTGAGAAAAATTTATAGAGATAAAAAGAAAGATAAACCAAGACATTTGATAAAGGGAGAGCAATAAACCAAGATAAATTATAAAGAAGGAGTGATGAACCAAGAAGGTAACAAGAGAGAGAGCTCAATGAACTAAGATAAATTATATATATGAGAGAGGAAAGTATATAGAAAGAAACAAATCAAGACAAATTATAAAAAGACAAAAATATTGAAAAAAAGAAAATGGAAAGAGAGTTAAGAGTGAGTCAAAGGGAAAAATAAATGTATAGGTAAGATACAGAAAGAAAAGTGTAAGTGATGAAAATAAATTTCAAATATGGCATAATGGTTATTGGTAATGAAAATGGATTCAGCTGGTTGTGTTCAAATTCTATTAATGACTGTTGTATTTACTTCACATTAATACTCTTGAAAAAAAACTCTCCTCTTCTACCCTGAGCTATGAGTAAACAACAGCAAATTGAGCTCTATAGCCTTGATGGTAGATGTGCAAGTAGTGTTACTGTTGGCAATGCAGAAAGTAAAATCAGCAAACTATGTTCAAATTCCTGCTTTGTCTGTTGTATTCCCTTTCTTAATAAAGCTTTTAGAAAAAGCAGGAATCCATTTCTTCTCCCCACTCCTCTTCAGTTACAATTTAAATAGAACGGCGCCATCCAATCTAGAAGAAGGTCAACTCTAATTCAAAAGAGGAAACCATTCCACTATCTTTCTAAAGAAGTTATGTCATTTCACAGATAATACAGAAAAGGAAATTGCAGAGAGCTATGATTGTCTATCTCCTGAAGGAACAAAAAATTAATGGTAGGGTTATCCATCTAGAAGTAGGAAAACACTGGATTCAAACCTGTAGTGGTATTGAACGGCCTTAATTCAATCCATACATTTTTTTTACTTTACAAATACACTAGCAAACAAAAGAAAACAGTACAAAACTGAGAAAGTACAACAGTAATATTTTGGTCAACAAACAATTTTCAGTATATTGTAAAAAAATTACAATGGTGTAGAAATCTTGTAGTTTGTTCAATATGTGCATGTGTTTACTGCTGTGTGTGTGAGTTTACCCAAAAAGTTACGTTTTGTAGTATTTTATTATCTGGACTCAGGAAAAGATTTCAGTTTGTGAAATAAAGTTCAGTCTCAATGAAAGGAATGTTCTTAGACAAGAAGGTGTCGTAGACTTGTTGAATGCTGAAGAAATTCTCTCCGTTAGAAGTTGAATAAATTTCTGTTGCTTGTAACTGAAAGAATGAATAGATGTTGTAGATGTGCATACGTACATGTGAGCGCATGCATGTGTGTGTATATGTGTGTTTCATAGCGTTTGCCCTTGAGGAACAAACGTAATCTCTCTAACGTTACATCTTGTGTGTGAGAGAAGGCAAAAGAGAGGAAGAGTTAAAGATGTTGCTGCTATTTATAATGTTGTATGTCACGTGATATGCTCAAAACACATAGACAGATTTTTGGTGGAACAGTATTTTCATTCAGGTCAGAATCTAGGTTGATGCAATTTGGACATAGTGGAAAACATGATATTAGCATTAATTGACCAATCAGGAGTCAGAGAAATATCAAGGCTCAGTGATCCAGTTTTTTGCACAAAAGTTATTTTCAGCTATTTAAAATGATGTAGAATTAAAATTCTACAAACCCTATCTATGAGTAATAGGGTAGAAACTATTTCCTTATCTTTCCTAATATGTCATGTTAATTCATAGATAATAAAAATAAGGAATCTGTGGAGAGTTATGATTTCCTACATGCTACATGGCATTAAAAAAATCCTTGGTTGGATAACCCAACCACTCATCAACGCATAACATGCCCATAGAAGGTTAGGCCAATTACACCCCATGTCCAATAGACCTCAAACAAGGTCCAAGTCCTGCAATAAGCTGAGAAAATGACTCATAATTAACTGTGTTGCCAGAAAATGGAAATAAGAATTTTCAAAATATATCAAAAGAGGGATATGCTAGTTTAAATAAGAAAGATAAAATGTAAGTAAAAATTTACAAGAAATTCATTAAAGAGTGAAAAGTAAAAGAAAATTGGCTGTCTGCAGACTGTAAATCATACAGTTGACAAGCATGTATAATTAATGCAATTGTATATGAGAAAGAGATGCAGAAAAATACAGACATCCTGAAAACATTTGAACTTCAATAAAACTGGTTGCAGTTATCCCCTTTCAGTGTGATTAGATAGCTGTAATAAATATTTGGTTCTTATTGCATCATGTTGGAATGAGAAGGATTTCCAAGTTGTGGTCAAGTGAGACAAGTCATAAAATAACAGAAAATATCATTTATTTGTTTATCTTTATTCTTCGGAGTATTTTGGGTGGGGTCAAGATCCATTTCATGCGATAAAGTATATTTGAGCAAAAGATTACTACCTAAAACCTGAATAAATTATGTTTAAAATACAAATATATACACACACAAATTAGGATCAAATACAGACTGGAATCTGAGAGAATGATAAGTAGGAAACATTTATAAATCTAACATTATTCACTATTATTAATTCCCCCCCATAGACACATACACAATTTTATATATACATACATACATACATATATATATATATATATATATATATATATAGCAAAATAGCTGGCCACTCATATTCGAGGATACCTGCCAATTAGGGCAGCTAGCCAATCCCTATTGCAGATGCTCGCTCAGGCATATTTGTGTTTGTTCAACACCCACAGAGCCCACCTGTGATTTATAGTGCAATTATGCTGAGCAGACCTTAGTTACAGTTTCTGGGAGAGTGCATGTTATCTAGCATGATCAACAATCTGAACAAGGCCAGCACACTCAAACCCTTGGTCATGATGACTTGTGACTTTGTGCTAGCACAGCTATTGACAGCAAGGTAGCAGATTCAACTAATCTCCTAATTTTTAAAATATATATAATTTTTAACTAGTTTCTTGATTTCCTTGTTAAATTTTTGTGTTTCAGTAGTTATTTTTTGTATGTGTCAGCATTGTTGAGTAGTGAGTTAATTTTTTTCAATGTATCTTGTCTTGTTTGCTTATTTCTTCCATTAAACCAGAGTATATGACTTTTTACTACTATCAGAGACAGAGATTGAACTCTCGACTACCAGAACACCAGACATGTATTCTTCAAATCATCATAGCCAGTGGCTGTACATGAATGAACCCATGCTTTTAATATGGTCAAAGTATTTTTGCTTTTAAGCCCACATCATAAAAATGATGGTAATTTCTTTTGGCTTTCTTTGATATTTAGCATTTCTTCAAATGCTATAAAACATATCTACCTTGAGTGTTTTCTGCTATATATGTATATATCACTGATAGCCACATTGTATGGCTTTCCTTTCAGTTTTATCAGAAGAACATTCTGACAGTCTCTTCCAAAATATACTTCATCTTATCTTTATCTAATATTAATCTGGTTCCTCTTCCATTTTCTCTCCTTCTGTGTACAAGGTTCTGTTTATATGGCTTAGTGATTGTCCTTTATAAAATCCCTATTTTTTCCCCATTTTGCTTTATTTACTCCCAGTTTAATATCAGTCTCATGACTGGGTGTGGTCATAGGGTTACAGCACATCTTAGCACCTGACCTGCTCTTTCCACACTAGATACATACATTGCTATGAAGCCCAGTCTACCCTATTGGCTTTACATGAATGTTCATCTTCCCTTTGACAGGTATATTTTTGAATCCTACTGTGTATCTATGCATCCTCCTCAACAGAAAAGGCTTGGTGGGGAAACCAGTTTAGTCACTGATGATCTGACCCTACAGCAGGTAGTATTTGGTAACATGTTAACAGTATCAAGTGCATGACTATACATAAATATTCATTAATATTGGACATTTCCTGTTTCCCATTTTATACCCTTTTTTTTTTTTTTAACAATGATATAATGTCCACATATTCTTTATCCTGATTATGATCACATCTTCATTGTGAACAGTTGCTGGCTGATGGTCTGGTGACAATTGTAGCACATGTCCTTCCTCATCAGGCAAGTTGTCAGTTCCAAGGGAGCTAACTCTCTTCATGCCATTGTTGATATATATGACTGTTCATGCAAGAGATATCATCCAGAGAACAACTCCATAGTTTCCTGAGATAATATAATGTATATACACTATATGTATGTACATATTTAAACACATTGTATTAAATTCAGAGGAGGCATGATGAAGAAATGGATAACAGCTCGGATTGAGAAATCTGAGAGCTGAGTTCGAATTCAAATTCCAGTCAAATTCGTTACATTCACTTATGTGCTTGAGAAGGGTATGAATCCTCTTCTTCTCCCTCCAACTATGGGTAAATAGTAGGACAGACTGGGTTCTATAGCCTTGGATGGCAACTGATCTACTGCAAAAAGAAACGGCAACCTACTGCATGAAAAAATCTGCCTCGTCAGTCATGTATTGAAAGATACATGATCACCTAACCTCATCATTACTCTGGACATCAAAAATCTGCCTTAAGAAGAATAATGAGGTATTCTGAGATGAGGTATTATGTACACTATTTACATTATTCAAACTATTGTCATCATCTTTGTCGCCATATTTTTTAGAACGTTTCAGCTATTGTACGCTCTAGCCTTCTTCAGGTGGTTTATCCACTGTGCCACGTGTCCTTGAGGACACGTGGCTCAGTGGATAAAGGTGTCGGTTAGATCCAGGGACAGGACCCAAAGAGTGTGAGTTCAATACCCGATTAAGACAGTGGAGAACTTGGAGATGGGAATTAACAGGAGATAACTGACATCTATTAAACATGGCACGTAGAACTAGAAGAGTCTACCCCAGTGAGCGAAATAAAGGGTTAAATTTGACATTCCAACTACATGAAGAAGGCCGGAGCATACAACGGCCAAAACGTTGTAATAAATATGGCAACAAAGAAGAGGACAATAGTCCGAATAATGTAAATAATGTTGCTTATGTATTTTTGCATTATTTGGGAGA